CATATAAAAATATTAGAAATCTCATCTAGAATCTGCACAAAAATAATCGCATATCTTTGTGTGTGTTTTGATGTTATGTACTCAGGTGAATATAATGTTTTTGATGTTACTCTGAGTGTATATCCAGGCAGGCTGAAAAATCACATATTGCTTATTCCAAGTGTGTTTGTTCGATACAAGCAAGTTAAGGAAACTTTCCCTGATATTTCACTGCTCATCTGTGGCCTCAGCTAGGTTGGTTGCATTGAAATATGAAAATAAAAAAGGTAAAATGGTTTAAAGTTTAATTTGTTTGAGATTGTTATGAATTTCCTGTCATATGAACTTTACATTTGATTTTCCGCCATTCGATTTTATCTTTGAAATATAAGATTTCGGATGATTTTCTGTTCTGAAAATTAAAGCACTTCCGTTGAGATAAGTAATTTTAATAACAGTGACTCGAAACTATGTTTTATTGTTTGATAGACTGAAGAAACCCCTGGAAATGAATTGTTATCATCGCTGTCTGGAATGCAGGAAACTATTGACGCAAAGATGGCTTCCAGTAAACTTTCCCTATTCAAGGTAAGAAAACAGATTTAGAAAAGGTAAGAAAAGAGAGATATAAACTTACCAAGGCAAGAAAACAGAGATAGAATCTTACCAAGGTAAGAAAATAGAGATATAGAAACTTACCAAGGTATGAAAACAGAGATAGAAACTTACCAAGGTAAGAAAACAAAGATAGAAACTTACCAAGGTAAGAAAACAAAGATAGAAACTTACCAAGGTAAGAAAACAAAGATAGAAACTTACCAAAATAAAAAAACAGAGATAGAAACTTACCAAGGCAAGAAAATAGAGATAGAAACTTACCAAGGTAAGAAAATAGAGATAGAAACTTACCAAAATAAAAAAAACAGAGATAGAAACTTACCAAGGCAAGAAAATAGAGATAGAAACTTACCAAGGTAAGAAAACAGGGATAGAAACTTACCAAGGAAAGAAAACAGAGATAGAAACTTACTGCGTAAAGATCCTAGCATGCGTTTAAAAATGTATTAGATAATTGGCTGGCTGACTAACATACAATCAGTTGTAATTTGATATTTTCTGCAATAGTTGACGAATCCCCGAGGCCATCCATGGCCATCAGGTAAAAGCGGCCGTCTAAATTCAAATTTTAAAAGTGGACATTGATAGGACAGTTGGACGGCCGCCTTGTTAAGTGCCCACCTTTCAATAATCTTTTCTTTTTCTGGCTTTAAGGACTCGTTACCTTTAGGACAAGAGGAGGTCGACAGGTTTGTATACAATATATATACTTTCTTTAATATATACAGCTGTTTACGTCAAAAGTATATCCCTAATACGAATAAGTAGTATGCATTATTCGGCAAAATGTTCGATAAAATTGGATAGCTTATTTATGCTTCACAGTTCACACACCAAATCCCAGTCGTAAATTCCGTACATTTCATCCTAATACCGATTGGTCTAATTGTGTAATTATCTGACATGCCTACAAATACGCGCCCATGCACCGTCATTATTTTGAGAGCTAAATCCCCCTCCCCTCCCATCCTACCAGTACTAGGAACAATGGGTCATGGTCATAGACAGGCGAAATCTGCATATTACCCAGCATAACGCACGCATAAACACCATATAGACAGAAATATGTATGCCGTTTATTTGTTTGTGTTAGCTCTGTTTGTCTGAGATATGGCGGTTAGATTTGCGTTGTGCTGTGCATTATTTTTTATAAAACGTTCCAGAGTTAACAGTAGAGAGGTTCAGATTGGACTTTCGCTACCGCTGCCATTATGGGACCATTAACCAATTAGATGTGTTTGATATTTCCGATTTGAAAAAGCCATAATTTACATTATTTTGAGGAAGGTCTGAAAACTTGAAATTTTACCCGGAGGAATATGTTGGTTGAACATTTATTGCAAATGTTTTTAAACACTTAAAAGTGCTTTATTTTTTTAACTGCACGCAGTTGGAAACTCCCAAGTGAAGAAGTGGTTCACGAAAGTGGTCGAGTACGACGAAGAGCAACATGGGAGGACGACGACAACGTTGACGACGGTAATGATGATGGCGAAGAGGACGACTACGGCGATGATGATGCCGGAGATAGTGATGATGAGGATAGAGACGATCAGAGTTCTGATATTGAAAAAAGTGATAAGACAAGGAATGAAAAGATCAAGTTAAATAAAACGACGGTGAGTTGAACTGGGTTGTTCAATGGCAGACAAATGTATCACCAAAACCACGCATTTCACAACGTACTCCAGCTTCAATCATTTGGATCTCGGCCAATCTTGCATGAAATGTCAAGCGTCGTATGCCAAAATTAAAAACGTATTTAAATGTCATGGTTGTTCCTGTTTTTTGTAACATTTAAACCATACAACTTTTTTCGGGGGAGAACACCCGATATATGAATTTGATTATAGATTTGGTGTCATTCAGGCCTGAAATTTCCCTAAAACCTCTTCACAGCATTGAGGTAAAAAATTGCCGTAGAGTGCAGCGGCTTCCTACGGCAATTTTCGCCAATGCATTTTTCATGTAATATGCCATATGCATTGTGGGTGACAGCTTGTGGTAGAAATTTAGTTTTCTGTATTTCTTCTGAGTTCAGTTCAGTGTTTATCATGGTTACACATAAACCGGGAAACGTTTGTTTAAAGAAAGTAAAAACATCTACACAAAGAAAAATCATCATGGACATCAACATTCCTTCACAATCTAGATTTTTTATTTTCATATCAGTGTTTCAATATGAACAATTTTGCAATGTTTTAAAAATTGAATAAAGAACGTTTTCAAAATTTTTGCAGACTTCTAATAATACCAATTCCCTAAAAATCTATACTATGGCAAAAAACTGCCGTCGTTGTCCACAATGATCTACGGCATTCTCGTCTCGAACTACGGCAATTACCGCGAGTGCCACGATAAAAATCGAGCCTTGATTTGTTTGTAGAAAAATGAGTCATTGGTTTACGAGGAGGAAGATAGTGATGCCTGTGGCGACAATGAAAGTGACGTAGACGAGGATGAACATGTAAACCTTGACGACGTTTCTGATAATGATAGCGATGCTTCAACTGATGATCTACCCTGCAGTAGCAGTCAAGTAAAGCCAAACAAAAGAAAAGTCCCAAGTTCTTCCGAAGAGCCATGCAGTGACAGCAAGAAAACAAAAAAGAAGAAACTCTCTCGTTCCAATGACGGTGAGATAACTGATGTGAAATCTGGCACTGCTGAGCAAGAATCTGTGGATGAGTCAGCATGGGGTATGTCATATATCATTTTTGCAAATCTTGTTTGTAATTTTGAGCGAAAACAATATACATAATTGAACCCTTACCGGCTGCAGCTTTAGGCATTCTTTCAGAAAACTAACTTGCGTTGCTGGAAAGTGTTCGTCAGAGCGAGAGTTGCAACTCTCGTCAACTCTCATCCTCGTTTGACTGGGGCTTAACACTATGGTTTTATGAACTAATAACCTATTTAGCGATACAGTCTGTTAGAAAACACTGGAATTAGCTGGGGGGAATGGTGTTAAAACTGTTTACGACCTTCATAGGTATTGGACGTCAATTTCCGCCATCTTCGCTTCACTTTTCTCATAGGTCGAATGACTGAGGTTCTTGGTCCAGATATATATAGAGCTCACTGTTAGCATCAAGCAATATATGTTTATGTAATTTCATAGGGAAACAATACTGGAGTAAAAATCTGATGGAGAAAGCTCGAGAGGCTTATCTTAGACATCAAAACAACACTCCCAACTTGAAGAAGTTGATATATGGTCAAGGTAAGATAACAGGGAATATGTACAATACATTTTAAGGCCATACAGTAACTTTACACGACGCAATTTTTGCTGCAACTTGCAACGCGATTTCTGACATAGAGCGACGTGATCTAAAAGGTGGTCGCAGGAAAATTGTGCACATGGTCAAAATTTTACAGGGTAATCGACATGTACACATGCACCCTAGAAATTTAGATCGAAACACCCCCAAAATCTAAAATCCTAGCTAAGACTCTGCGTATAGCTGTATTTTGACTTCAAAATATCCTATATATTTAGGTGCTTCCCGGAATTCTACTGCCGAGAATGAGAGTGAAGATTCCGATGAAGGGGCTGTTGGTGGTCTCTTCAGGATGAAAAATCAAACCAAGAATGTAAAAGATCAAGTAATGCACGAGCGTGATTCCTCGAAGATCATAGTGCAAGACACACGAGAATGGCAGGAGATATTGGCAGATATCAAGGATTGTTTTGTCACTGGCAAATGGACTGAAACTGAAGACGCTGAAGCGTTGCTTCAACTTGATGATCAAGATGACGGTAGGTTTCTAGTTGTCGATGCGAATCTGCGATATGCTCGCTCGACACCGGCAGGGATGAGCCAAATTAAACAACACTTTGTACTCGTTTATATTATACTTATTTCCGTTATACTTTAATCGTTTATAACATAGTACGGTACAAAAACGTTGTAACTATAGTACAAGATCGGTAGAATTAAGCTAAGTTGTTCGTTCAATGTACGTTAATCGCTAATGAAATTCTCGTCTAGACGACCTTGCAGTTAAATATTAGCGGTATGTTATATGAATATATTACATGACACAAACAAGTTAGAATTGAAAGGCGAATATGCAAATAGTCTCCTAAATTTGAATAAGTATCTATAACTATCTTAAATTAAACATAAACAATAAGCTATATATTTTTGGCACTAACACTAGTTGAATGGTTTCGGCAACAGAGTTGAGACAAAAAATCAACCAGTCGGATGGATTTTGTCAAAACAAGGTGTAAATAAATTAGTCTCTTCCCTGAAACCAGTACTATTTAATAACCAGTTATTTGATGAGGTTTTTGTGATATCCGAAATTATGAAGGTATTGGTAAGTGTTATCAGTGTAACCGAAGGCGAGATTGATAATTACCAGTGGTGTCAAGTAACGAAGTAAATGTACTTCGTTACTCTACTTGAGTACTGTTTTTGAGAAGTGAGCACGTAACAAAGTAAACTTTTTCTGGAGTACTTTTAATTGGAACGAAGTCGTTTCAAGAAGTAGCGTTTTACTTCGTTATTTTCATTTTGTGTCGAAGTATTTCGTTACTTTCTAACTTTTGTGTTTAATTTTACGTAATTTATTCCTGATTTATTTTCATTTTGGGATAGGTAATAGGACCTCTACATGCGTCCGGGGTCTGGAAAGTAGACCATGCCGTGAAATATTGTATATTTATAATGCGTGTGCTGTTTTGTGTTTTTTTGTATCTCAAGCTATCAGTCGAATCATTGAACCTTCGATTCCGGTGCAGCGCTTTAACCAACTGAGGTACAGAGGCAAGCTGACGAGCGTTAACCACAGGTTCTTGTTTTTTATGGATTTTCGGGTGTGCGGGTTATGACATGGTGAACTTGAAAGATTTTGTTCTGCACTTCATTACACTTCACTTGGTTGAAACTGAATATTGGAGAAGATGGATAATCCAAGTGACCAGGAACGGTTGCGAAAAATGCAACACCAGGTCCTCTGACAGGAATCGAAGCTGCGGCCCTTTATTATACTTTGCAATTTCATTAAAGACATTAAACTCCTTCGACAAACAAGGATTTGTCGCACAAACGTTCAGTTCTTATAAAAAGAATGTTAGAAAACTCATTTATGTATACTAAACTTTCGATAAAAATGTCAAAAAGCTTGTCTGCTCGCGGATAACTGAGTTATCTGTAGATTGCATGATTTCCATAGTTAGCTGTGAGCTATTGGCCAATCAGAAGACACCTACTGACTACAGTGTATAATAATAATTGTTAACGACACAAATTTAATTATGTATGGTTTCTTTAGAGGAAATATTTGGAGATTTCGAAGATCTTGAGACGGGAGAAGTACATCGCGGGGACAATGTGGAGAAAGATGATGAATGTGGAGACGAAAGAAGTGATGATGCTGATCGAGATGAAGAGAACGAAAAACAAGAAATCGAAGAAAGAATTGAAAAGAAGAAGAAACTGAAAGCTTCTTTTGACGTCCAGTATCCTTTTATACATCAGAGTAGCTGATTGCACCCCGTATTGTTTGACTGATAATATCTAGCCAACTCTCATCAATTTTCATGCAACCGTTGTTCTCGCTTGACCGCGGCATGAGAATTGAGAAAACGTTCAAGCAAACTCTCGCTTCTCAATTCTCATCAACTCTCATCCTCGTTTGGAGCTGGGAAAGAGCTGAGTTTTTGTATTGATTTAATGAAAATTCGTGCTTACGTAGAAAGTGTTAAACACCACGTGCATTTGTTGGCTCCAAAGTTCATTTCTTCACAAGAGAAGAAGCAGGAATAATTAGCGTATGGAAACAAATGATGGAATAGTTCACTTTGTTAATCCATTAAATAGCAGTCACACTGATCAATTATTTTCATTCTCGCCATGACATGACATGAAACCGGTAACATAGAATAGAACAAAATGCAAAATAATGCCTTTTAAAAAAGGGAAATATGATTTTGTACAAAGCATGCCAAATAATTCCACAACATACGCATTTTATGCAATCTATTTTGTTCTGTGTAGGATTCCTTACAGCTCTACTGATAAAAAAATTTAAACCATCAGGAACAAATTGTTATAGCTGTACATTAAACAACAACACTAATCGGGATGCTTAATTGATTATCTTAGAAAAAGTATCTAATGTTAGTCAAATGGCACAACTCTGGACTCTTTATTCATTTCATCAAGTGACCCATGTTCTGAAAGATTCGCATAACTTCGTGTCCGCCACCGAGATATTTTGTTAAACATTTCCTGCACATTACCAGCACTGAAGCAGTTGTTGAATGGAGCCAATAAAAACGCTGTTCCAAAAAAGCTGCGTATTATCTTTACCGTTGACTATAATACCCATATAGTCTTGGCCTTAACTAGTATGCAGATATGATGATGGAGAGGAAAGCACGTACTATGATGATCTTAAAGCTCAAATGACAGAGCAAGCTCGGGTAAGTTAAACATATTGTGCATAATTTTAATATTCAACCGTTCCAAAAGCGCGTATATTAAATAATTGTTATTAAATCATAATAAGAGGAGGTTTTTTGTATGTTACGTAACACGCGCTCAAAACAAATGAGTATAATATAGCACTTGCGGACTACATTTTTTTTCTCGATACGTTTCTCAATCGGCAAACAAATTTAGAAAGTTTAGTGCTTTAGCTGTAATATAATGCTAAAATGAAGAGATTTTAGAATAGAAGTTCAATAAGTTTTGCTTGTGTTGCTGTATATATATCATGGCGTCACTTTTAAAGTATCATTGATAATTGTATTTTAATTAATGGGTGAATCCAGCTATGGCCTAAATTTTGATCAAGGCAAGAAGAAGAAATTTACAGCTATAGAAAGAGCGTCTTAGAATGAGTAAAACTGCAAAGATTGGTTGCTAAATGTTGTAAAACGAAGAAAATATAGCCCTGTGAAGTTCCCAAATTTTGTACATATTTGCATTACGCGCGGTAAAAATAACCACTTTCGGCTCAAGAATGGTTATTTTTCCCGCGCGTAATGCAAATATATACAAAATTTGCGAACTTCGCAGGGCTATATTTTCCTCATTTTACAACAATTCGCAACCAAACTTTGCAATTTTACTCATTTTAAGATGCTCTTTCCAGCTATGGTAATGGATTTCGTTCTTCTTGCCTAGATCAAAATTTCGTCTATATAGCTGGAATCATCCATTGGCATTTTTTACTCTGTAGCTCAGCCTCAGGTGGTTAGAGCGCTTCATTGGAATCACAGTGCCGCAGGTTCGGTTCCTGCCATAGGGCATGTAAAGTTGTATTTTTTGCAACTGCTTCTGGTTAGGTTTAATAAATGTATTAAATTCGCTCTTCCATCAACGAATTCCTTCAACAATAGACAGGTCCACAAGACCAAACCACAAAAATGGCATGAAACTTGTGCATTATATTTGTGAAATATCAGTAAATTTATGTTTTTAAAATAGTTCATTGATAAAGTGAAATTTTGAATTTAGTTGAATCAAGAGGAATTTGAAGGGATGGATGATGAGACAAGAATTCAGTATGAAGGATACCGCGCTGGAATGTACATTAGACTCGAGGTGGGATATGAAATGTTATTCATGTATTCCTTCACCTTAGGGGCAGATAAAAAAGAGCGGAATTTGAAAAAGAATTCATGCAAGCATTTAAGGAAAGAAAAACATCCTACTACTACATGGAACGTACAAAAAAACTCCTACACAGCTTCTGTTTACGCCTTAAAAAAGTTGCAAAGAAAGTCCCCCCCCCCCTTCGTCCCTCCCCCTCCCAGGATATCTAATGGTGCACTCTCTAATGGGCTTTTAAACATCGTTTAAACGCTGTGGTGATGAAGGCGAGACAAACGAATTTAATTACACTAACCCAAATGGGCCAAATGGGGAGGGGGGATGTCGGTGTCACCAATTGGCATTTCCACAGGTGCCTGTACACAGTCACTCTTGACCATGAAATCGCCCACCCAATTCAAAATGGCCTCTATTTGAGGAGCAGGTGATACGTATTAAGGCCCGTGTACACTTGCAATTTTTGCTGCGATTTCTAGTGCGACTTTCTTCTCTGGTGCATGTGAACGAGTGGATAAGCTATGAATGTTCTGAGTATATGTACCACTGAGGTACCCTCATCTGAACATTCATAACTCATCCACTTGTTCGCATCTATCAGAAAAGGAAAAACACAGCAAATGTTTTCCTGAAAAATGTTTTCCTTTAAGAAATGTTTTCCTGAAAACTATGGGGCTAAACGTGGGGGCTGGTGCAAAATATGTGTGTCGCTGTAAGTCATGCAGGTCTTTTGCTGTCAAATAGTACCTTTTTGTATCATTGTGGTAAAAAAGACCAAATACGATCCGATCAAAACTGTCGGTCGAAATGAGTGCATCACTATAATTGTCTTAATATTTTAATATTTCTCATTTCGAATTTTGGGCAAATGTTCAAAAATTCAAAGCACATTTTATGCATACGATTGGGAAAATCGGATCGGATCTGACCATTTTTGTTCGCAATGGTTCGCTAACATATCATTTAACAGCTATTAAAAGGCCTGAACTTTATTGATACGAAAAAGTTAAATCTATCAATTCACTATTAAGTTGATATGAACTCGAATGATCCGTGCCAATGTAGGTCAGTGCTTCCATTTTCAAAAAACATAATTTCCTTCCAACCGTTCAAATTTCCTTATTTTTGAAAAATTTCCTTGCAATAAAAATTATTGAATTTTACCTAATTTAAAACTGATTTTATAGTAATTTATCTCGAATAAACGTTGCACGAGCTGAATTATCAAAGGAGAGAGACAAAGAATTTACCTAGATTAACACGAAGAAATTCCTCCCCCAGAAAATTTTCAGATTTTGCATCTCGCAGACAGGATTTTCAGCATATTTTGAAGCGCATTTCCTTGGAAATTGCCGTATTCTTAGGATTTTTTAGAAATAAGGCAATTTCCTTCACATTTCCTTCAATCTTCCGAAATTTCCTTCAAATTTCCTTCAGATTCGAATTTCGTAATAATTTCCTTCAACTAGTTCAAATTTCCTTCAAAAAGGAAATTTCCTCCAAAATGGAAGCACTGAGTAGGTAGTAACAAAAACACCAGAATCAAACTGCGGATTCGACTACATGCAAAATACGTTTCGAGCGAAGGCGCTTCGTCGGGATGTTAGTAGCCAAACGTATTTCTAAAACTTTGTTATATTACCTGTATATCAAATATTGGACTTTGTTTGGCATGCACATGTGACTTAAATGACGTCACACTGCATAATGAGTTTTTAGAAAGAAAACGTTTCCTTGTCAAACATGTGATAATTCCACTCACATTGAAAGTTATGCACTTTAAGAACTATCAAAGCTATCATTTCGTCTGCAAATTTGAGTTGATAACAATTTTATCAAGCAAGAAAAAACAGTCTTCTATAAAATACATTATGCAATGTGACGTCATTTAAGTCATATTTGCATGCCAAACAAAGTCCAATATCTTGACATACAGGAAAGATAACAAAGTTACATTATGATTTTAAATGACATTTGCAATTCAATCATAAAAAATTCTTGCATAGGCACTTTAAGTTGATATGCGGTGTATATGAAAACGTAATGTTATCGTTGACAGGTTGAGAAAATCCCATGTGAATTCATAAATAATTTCAATCCAACGTATCCTGTCGTTCTTGGTGGACTTCTCTCCAACGAAGATAACATTGGCTATATCAGAGTAAGTTGATGAACAAATATTGCTTCATTAACCCGTGTGTATTTTGAATGATCGGGGCTGACCTTATAGCGTTGTTACGTAATATATGAACAACGAGAGCGCGTGTTTTACCGGGATATCCAAACACGAGAAAACAATGTATGAAAACACGAGCGCGAAGCGCAATTGTTTTCATGCGTTGTTTTCGAGTGTTTGGATATCCCGGTGAGACACGAGCTCGAGTTGTTTATATGGCTTCTCAAATGAATCGAATGAACAACAAAATAATCACAAAACGCCAATCTGGCTTCCGTAAATATCACTCTACTGAAACTGCTCTCTTGCAAACAACCAATGAATATTTAATGAATATGGATAGAGGCTTAATAAATGGTGTCTTGTTTCTTGATCTCAAAAAGGCATTCGATACAGTCGACCACAAAATCCTTCTTGCTAAACACGAACTATATGGAGTTCAAGGTGTAGCCCTTAACTTCTTCAAATCATACTTAACCAATAGGAGTCAATTATGTACAGTCCAAGGTATAAATTCCCAACTGAAAAAGATAAGATGCGGAGTCCAACAGGGATCAAACTTAGGACCGTTATTATTCTCATTGTATATAAACGATCTTCCTAACTGTCTCGAACAAACAGAGGCATCTATGTTTGCAGATGACACAAATATATCAAGCATTGGTAATTCACCTGCGGACATAGAAGTGAAACTAAACAATGACTTGTATAACGTCAATAACTGGTTAATAGAAAACAAGCTTACTTTAAACGTAAAAAAACTGAATTTATGCTAATAGCCTCTAAACGAAAATTGAAACAATTCTCATATGACCCATGTATACTGATTGGTAATCATAACATCAAACAGGTAACCAATAAAAAAAGTACTGGGAATTACGTTAGACGATGAACTGAGATGGCATAAACACAATGATCTTCAATGCAAAAAAACTATCCAAGAGCATCGCCTTATTAAGACGAGCCAAACGATTTGTTAACCAAAACGTCTTAATTAACATGTACAACTCACTAGTCTTACCTCACTTTACCTATTGCTCCAACGTGTGGAATGACGGCAGTCGTACACATACAGACAAGCTTTTAAAAATGCAAAAACGAACGGCTAGAATTATCACAGGGTCAACTTACGAAGTAAGATCGAAAGATATATTTAATATCTTACACTGGGAACCAATTGAAACCACTCTTAAGAAAAGAGAAATGATAATGACATTTAAGGCCTTACAAGGACAACTGCCAGAATGTATGACCAACTTCTTTAAAATTTGCCTAAATGATATGTACCCATTAAGAAGTAATAACTGTAAACTTTATTTGGAGAAACCTAAAACAGACTTCTTGAAGAATTCGTTTTCATATCGAGGTGCGGCATCATGGAACAATCTTCTAAATGATGTTACCAACAACTACAAAGTGCTCTCCATAAGTAACTTCAAAACTTTAAGCAACAACTATTTCACCAATTTGGAGAGGAATAGTGTATGACAACCACTTGTGGGGCGGATTTTGATTCGAAGGAGTAATTGTTTGGGTCTGGGAGGGTTAACATAACATACTATTTCTAGTTATATATGTGAGTCATTCTAAGTTATATATATAGTGTTCATTGCATGGGCTTTCTTTTTTACACAGTTAGTATGTACAATAGATTTTTCATATTTGTAATTATTCTAACGGCCCATTGAAAAGCAGTTTAATCTGAAGGGCTACCGTTTTTAAATAAGATGAATAATAATAATAATAATAATAATAATAATAATAATAATAATAATAATAACGCTTCGGTACGATGTGACTGAAGTGCACGGAAAACGTGTTGAAACGAATTTAATTGCAGGAAACTTAACTTCAAAGGTCATTAATATTTATGAAATAAAAACCCCTTCGACATCGCCTTCCATGTCGTCCATATTAATATACTTTCAAAATAGGAAAATGACAAATTAGCTAAAGCAAACCCGAAACCCCGCCAATTTCATAGTAAATTATCCCTTGGTTTTGCTTGGGAGTAACATTTACGTGCTATTTTCTGTGATTTTTTGAAACATTTTTACCATTTTTGATTGACAAAAAAGACATACAGTACCAGCATCATAGACCCCAATCGTGTAAATAAACACTAAAAAACGCTTAAATGATTGAAGGGACAATGTCTATGCAACAATATTTTTTATATTTTTATGAACAACATTTAGAAAAGGTGATATACATGTTTGTGATTGATGTTCCAGCGGATATTTTTAGTATGCGGCATATTAGCGTATTCCGGCGGCAGCGTAAAAAGAACATTCAATGTTGGATTGCGTCATACACTACACTCTAATTACTTTAGCGCACAATTGCTATGAAATCTGCTTTGCGTGCCGTGGTTTCATTCTCTGTCTGCTGGCATTTCATAATCAAGTGGCTAAATAACTAAGTGCGTCACATGCAGTCATATCAAAACAGACAAAAAGAATCGCCGCGCAATTATGAAACATGTTTTACTTCGTAATATATAGTACTACAACGATGTTCATTCTTTGTTTTGTTTAAAAATCAAAATGCCTTGCATATAATATTTTATACTATCATTTAACCGCCTCCCCCCCTGTAAAATATTATTATGTATATCTCCTGTGGTGCAAAATGCTCTAAATTGCATAAATTATGCACGGTTCCAGGTTCCTGTATCGCTTTATAGTTATAGCCAAAACTGACGGATTCTTGGCAAGATGAGTTACTCGCGGATGTGTCATGTAAATAGTCACCGGAAAACTATAAAACGAGTTTACATAAATTCTTGTCCTAGATCTTGTCGTTGCCGAGTAAATCGGTTAGAAAGGTAGCTTGCCTTTATATGAACATGTCTACGATTTGCGTTCTGCAAGTGGCGCTATATATTATTTATTTTTTAAAGCCGTAATTGCCGCCCTGAATGAGCCGTAACAGGTTGTCCTTATTGAGTTCTCTCATTTCACCATGTCATTGACATTGTCTGTATAAAACTGTAGGCAAAGCAACAGAGATCTTAGCATTGCTGAAATTTTACATTCTCCCTCCTTTAATATTTGCCAAAATTTTTGCGAGAATATACACGCATCATTTGTTTACATCCACCAAATAACGGGGCTGAACTTGAATGCTTAAATCGTTAATTGACTCCGAGTTAAGCCCCCAGCGAAAAAGGGCGTGGCAGGGGCTTAACTCGAAAAGGGCTTAACTCGAAGGGCTAAACTTGAAAAATACCTACCCCCTTGATAACTGGTCTCTGCACAGTGGTGTAATGTTATATCAAGGGACCGGCCCCGGTTCAAAATTTTCGAAGGCCCCCTAGTAGAAGTGCCAAAGCACGAGTCGAGCGCCATATATGCACACGTTTTCTAGGGGGTCCAGGGCATGCTCATCCGAAAATTTTGAATCTAGACTCTCTGAAATGGCATTTCCTGGACTTTGGGGAGAGATTTTACAGAATTCTGATGGTCAGAAAACGACATTGTAACATATCAAGTTCCCTATGTGCTGGATAGCTGTATCTGATTTCCGCCAGATATTTACCAGATATAGTACTGGAAATTTTATTTTTACTACAAAACTGTTTTGCGTTAAGATATTGAGAAACAAAAACAAATATAGTCGACCGGGCATGCATGTCACACATTTCAAAGCAAAATTACAGTTAAGTTTTTTGTAATGTAAAATGCTCTCCGCTGTATATTGTCTGACAATCCTTGTGCCACCTACTAAATAGACAACGGACTATTTTACGACAAAGTGACATAAATATACACCATTCGTATCCGGTTATTGTACTGTATCTGGTAATATACTATATAGACTATAGTCTTGTACCGTCCGCCGAAGCAGTATCCGGCACGCACCCAATATCATTATTAAACAAGAAACAATATTAAGGCTATAAAATACACACCTATTCGCTATAGTATTACGTCAAACGTTGCTAAAGATTCGTTGAATCTACCGTACCATTTGGATCTACATTTAACTATAGATATCACCGTATTACACAGGCATTTCTATTGGTTTTAGGAAGGGTGAATAATCCTATTACAATCGCTAGAACCATTTTTGAAAACCATTGAGATTCAGTTTGTAAAAAATTCAATTTTTAAATCAATATTTGATGAATAGCACTATCCTGCCTAAAAGTGTTTCCGCTTTTATGAACTGTTTCCTACTGGTGGGTTTTAATTCAGTGTTTTAAATGGTGCTTGGAGCAATCACTTGAGAGAACAATCGGATAATGCTTAATAATAACGGTCGAAATAAATTTGGATTTGTATCCATTTTTGCTCTGTTAAATGTTTTTCCTTTTGGAGTTGACCACCATGGACTGCGCTGTCACCTGCACCTACAGCACAGACCCGTTGCAGTTTACCTTCAAGTGAGCTCATGCATGAAACCTAGCAGACAGATTTTGCCTTCAACATGTTGAAAGCTGTACCGTAAATCTGATAGCCAAAAGCTCATCAATAGAAATAATCTTGTCATTGGTTTCAGTTTTAATTGGCGGCATATTATGTTGTTTTTTTCATTCGAAATGGATTTAATTAGTTCTATAATGTTTCAAATTTAATTCTAAATTTGAACTACGCGGTGGGATTCATTTTTCAAATGCAACACATACTAAATCCAATACATCATTCATTTTTCAATTTGCGGCATCCCAGCTGGCTGTGCGTCGTCAAAAATTTCAAAATGAACTGATACATATAATGAACTCTAGTTGCTATCATCATGAGGAAATTTCTACTAACATTCAGTAAATGCCTGGTAATACGTCTACATGTATACAATGGCTAAATAGTAATCACAAGCTTTTTCAAGGTAAATGAAAATTCAAAGGCACACCGTAATCTACAGTCCATGCATTTTTATAAAGGAGGACAGTTATAAGACACACTGATTAATTAAAATAACTGAATGTAAAATGTTATGCACGAAGTAAAAGAATCCCAAACATTACCACAATCTGAGACAAGATTGCGACCATCATATGAGCAGAAACAACCCATCCATTGTTAGGATCCGGGACAGAACCACACCTCCTTGTAGAGTTTGCATTTTCACAACAAAACTCGTCGATTTTGATTGATACCAAGCTTTTTCCAGCCACGCTGCGCGGTCGAGCACATTTCCACAATGTTCTGTCACCTTTAATGTTATTGGCAAAGGTTCGTAACCACGCCAGGTTGCAGTCACAGTTGAGTGGGTTGTTACGAAGCTGTATACAGGTGGAATGGTCACAGTCTGGTAGGTTGGCATAAGGATTTTCTTCGATTGTTGCAATTGAGTTATTCGATAAGTCAATTATAGACAGTTTTGTTAGCCCACTAAAAGCATTTTTTGGAACATGAGTGAGATTGTTATTCCGTAACTGGATCAGATACATCAGAGGCATTTTCTTCAGAAATCCACTAAATAAAACTTGGGATGTGAGTTTGCATTCATTACACAGAAATGCACTCACTTTCGAATCACGGAAAGCATTCTCATGAACGAAGAGGATGTGATTTCCATCAAGAGCAACGTGAGTAACCTGAGTTCCTTTGAGTATATCTGGTCTGATATAGTTTATCTCACAGTAACTCATTGCCAAATGCTTCAGCTTTGGTAGGCTAGTGAACATGCCATCATCCAGAAGTTGAAAACGCGTGCCACTGAGCAACAAACTCTTAATATTTTGACCGAAATGTCCTTCGCCTATCTTAGCAATGATATCTCGATTTAATTGTGTATTGCCAATGCGAAAATGTTCCACATTTGTTGAGTTTTCAAACAAATCAACAGGCAAAGTTACTACGTGGTTATTGCTAAGACCAACCACGTTCAAGAGTGGCAGATTGGCAAACAAGCCAGCTGGGATCGAAGCAATATTAACATCATCGAAATCGAGTACGGACAGACGATTCAAGCCTTGAAAAACCAAACTATCGTTAAAAGAAAGACGACGGTTTTGCTTGACTATTTTTATACTAGTTAGATTGACCAGATTCTTGAAAGTTTCCCGATGTAGGATCCGAATATCACAATTTTCAAACTCCAGTTGATTTGTGTTGTTCGGTATCCATGACGGTATGTCAGTAATCGTGTATTTGTTTTTACATTCAGTCCTTGTTTCATCTAGTATCTTGCGACATCTACACCCAAACGGAGCTCCAGGTGGACAAAGCACATCCTCCGTTGAAACCACAAGGAAAAAGCAAGAAAATAACGTAATAAAGACACACAAAACACTCATGATGAATATCGAATGTTTGACCGCATCAATGTGTGTCGTTAATGAATTTATATGTGCACCTGGATTCCCCCCCCCCTCTCTAACCCCCGAATCATATTTCGTACGAAATTTGGTCGTTGAAGTGGACATATTTCCTAGGAAATTTGGGCCCTCTTGTCCAAATTGAGGCTCTTATAAACATATTTGACAAATCCGTAAGAAGTCTTAGGAAGGTATTATAATGACGGCGTTTAAAAACCTTGTATAAATATCGAACAGTACCGACGTACCGTTGCAAAACTTTGATGATTAACGTCAGCGTTGAAATTCCTGATGCGTGGGCATGCATGTGGCTCATGGTTACCTAAAATTTACATGAAAGCAAGTAATTCCTCATAACTTAGTTTACAATAGTTGCAGTACTCATTACTAAAGAAATGTGGAAATAAATCGGGGTTTTGAACTTGAGACATAGCGCAGTGTCTTGACTTGATGTATACATCTACCGTTTGCGCTGGTTTGGCCACATATTTAATGAGAATGACGAGCTTTCGAGCGGTTAATAAGGCATATAATGAGTTTTTGCCTTTGTTTCCTTTAAAATCTGCTACCTAATCCAATGTCATTAACAACCAACTTCCCAACATTGTCATTGCTATTAAGGCCACTCCAAATTAGTCTTTAGTTTCCCGTCCGACCCTTATTTTAAATTACACGAGGGCGGGCGGCCATTTAATTATCCATCAGTATGGTCATTATTCCATGGAATAGATATATTTAAATATCCATTCAGCCACGTTTTTACGGAATGTTTTGGATTTTTTGTATGCAGAAATGAAAGCCAGGATATTAATCAACCTTATCCTTTTATTACGTTCGAAATTCAAAACGTGTAAATGGAAGTGTCTAGCTCAGCGGTTACAGTAGTAAAAACGAACAAAAACAACTTACAATTCACGCTTTTTCTTAAAATTTTAACAATTTTACTTCGCTTTTTACGTGTCATATAATAAAAATGTATTTCTTGAACGATAGAATACTCGAAAACTGTGGATTTTCGTTATTCTTAGTCGTAAAGGTCAAATAATGGAAACAGGTTAGCAATAATAGAACTAGGGATCCAAGGATAGTGTGAAGTTTCAAATTTAAAAAGACACTGCAAGAACTATATAGGGTCGCCGACAACCTAGAAAACCTGATGGCTTACATTACGAAATAAACAGTTACCAAAGGCATTTCATCTCATTATTTATTGCTTTTAATGCGCTCGGCACACGAGTAGCGTGACGTTTGAAACAAGCCTAACACATCAGAAACATGCCTTGTGAAACTGATGCAATTTATCTGTTTATTGTGATGCTACACGAGACAATTCGAAATTTAAATTGTTTCACCAACAACCAAATTTTGCATATTCTAAATTCTCATTTGCATTTGCATTTGCATTTGCATTTGCACTTGCAGTAGCCTGCGAACAGGCTCTCAAGCTGAATTGAGAGCCTGCATCGATGACTAATGAATTTGAATATCTGCCCCATAACGTTCGTTTTTCCAAATATGGAATGTCTATCCTTATATGGTGTTGTTTACAACTTTCGTGCAAACTAAATTTAGACCGTGCAAACTAAATTTAGACCGTGCAAACTAAATTTAGACCGTACAGTTTATACTGTTTTTCGAAATATAAGATATTCAAGCAAAAGTTCAAATGTTTTAAATACTGTTTTCTCAAAACAGAACATTTCGTGCTTTGAGAAAGATGGCCAAGACCAATTTGATCAGTTAATGTGTTTTTTATGCATAGTGCTTCAGCAGTTGACATATATAGAGCTCAGCGGAGACATATAAATTATAGCATCTGACCAATGAGAATTTCGCGTCACGATTTGAGACGCAGATATTCAAATTCATTAGTCATCGATGCAGGCTCTCAATTCAGCTTGAGAGCCTGTTCCATGGCTACATTTGCAGCTGTCGCTAAAAGCATGCCCACGAGGCTACTGCTATGCTAAATTTATCTAATAAACTATAATTGAAATAGCTGTATAAGATATGTTATGAATAATAAGCACTACGTCGTTACATCATTAAAAGACGCATTTTATCCTCATCCGTTCCTATTTTATCCGCATATCCGTTCCGTGGATCCGCTCCATCCGCTTCCGCACTTTAACCTAATTGTGACATGTTTCACAATAAAAAGTCTCATTGACCTTTGACTTTTCCCAGTGTCACGTTTGTCTATTTTCAGCTTTTCGCATGTGTTGAATAATGTCACTTTAGATTTCAATAGTTTCACAGTTAAGCAGTGTTTAAAGCATTTTTGACAAGCTTTGATACAGTTCTGGGTACAGAATACTACAGATTGATTCTCGTAAGATCTGGTAGAGTTATCGTTGCACTGAACACGAGTTTGCACCGTTGACAACGGCGTTGTGCTAGACAGTAGACAAACACAAGGACAAGGTCCGTGACGGTACTGGCTACATGTACCTCCTTGCTTTTTTCTTCTATTGCATAAAGCTTGTTGGCGAGCCAAGCGATTGGCAATAACACGTTGGCGATAACACATTGGCTATCTCCTCGTCTTTCTTATTTATTTAAGGAGCTCTGACTCAACTGATTTCTTTAGTCTCGCAACGTCAAACGTTTACCCGCTTCTGTTTAATAGTTGTTTATGCTTTATCGATCTGATACAGATCTGATGCAATTTTTCGCTCTTTGTACTGAGTGTAGCCATCTATTCTGTGATGTAGCACCTTATACAGTCAATGACAATGTATAAATAATATCGATGGTAATGAATAACATCAATTTATATATTGTATTATTATTATTGCGTAGAATCTCAAAGATTTTCTCAATATTCATGTCTGAAATGTTTATATACTTGAAAACAACACTGTCTCGCTTCTGCCTACACGTACTGTACCTCTGTATAACGAGTATGCAGTGAAAATAATATCGGCACTCAATCGAATGCCTAGACTCAAGATTTTCGACTCAATATTTACGTCTGAAATGTTTATACACTTGACTGCACTGTCTAGGCGGTCTAGCTCCTTCCTAGCTCTGTATAATGAAATTAACGCGTTCCAAACTATTTTCAATAATTCCAAACTATTTTTTTTTCTGCAAAAATTAAAAAAAATAACAAAAAGTGCGAAGATTTCATTTTAGCAAATCGAAATACTATTTTTTGGCAGAGACTCTGCAAAAAAACAACATTTTTGTCTAAACGAGACACCATTCAGAAATCATTAATGCTAAAGTGAAAATTTGCAGTATTCATATGCTTACATGACTTAAACTGGATTCAGATTATCACTCATATATATAAATAGACGTACCATTGTCAGATATAAATATAAATTCGGTGTCTGAATTTCAGACACCGAAAACGGTTTGAGTTTGTCAAAATCATATATAGATACCAACCATGCAGACTGAGATAAATTTGGGTGTCTGAATTTCAGACACCGAAAACGGTTTGAGTTTGTCAAAATCATATATAGATACCAACCATGCAGACTGAGATAAATTTGGGTGTCTGAATTTCAAACACCGAAAACGGTTTGAGTTTGTCAAAATCATATATAAATACCAACCATGCAGACTGAGATAAATTTGGGTGTCTGAATTTCAGACACCGAAAACGGTTTGAGTTTGTCAAAATCATATATAGATACCAACCATGTAGACTGAGATAAATTTGGGTGACTGAATTTCAGACACCGAAAACGGTTTGAGTTTGTCAAAATCATATATAAATACCAACCATGCAGACTGAGATAAATTCGGTGTCTGAATTTCAGACACCGAAAACGGTTTGAGTTTGCCAAAATCATATATAAATACCAACCATGCAGACTGAGATAAATTCGGTGTCTGAATTTCAGACACCGAAAACGGTTTGAGTTTGTCAAAATCATATATAAATACCAACCATGCAGACTGAGATAAATTTGGGTGTCTGAATTTCAGACACCGAAAACGGTTTGAGTTTGTCAAACTCATATATAAATACCAACCATGCAGACTGAGATAAATTTGGGTGTCTGAATTTCAGACACCGAAAACGGTTTGAGTTTGTCAAAATCATCAACCATGCAGACTGAGATAAATTTGGGTGTCTGAATTTCAGACACCGAAAACGGTTTGAGTTTGTCAAAATCATATATAAATACCAACCATGGAGACTGAGATAAATTTGGGTGTCTGAATTTCAGACACCGAAAACGGTTTGAGTTTGTCAAAATCATATATAAATACCAACCATGCAGACTGAGATAAATTTGGGTGTCTGAATTTCAGACACCGAAAACGGTTTGAGTTTGTCCAAATCATATATAAATACCAACCATGCAGACTGAGATAAA